TTTATTCCTGTGTCGAGAAGGAGAAACCTAGAGCCTTGGACTAGGACATGATTTGAATCCAAACTGCGTATTAAATTACTATAGACCATTTTATTGCGTTTATTTTGAAACAACAGCGCCAATGTCTCAAAACTCACTGGGGGACTTCCAGCAGCCTAGCCTGAGCAGCTAGCTAGTTTCAAACAGAGCGGTGCCCGCACACTGGTACTGTAACTACATAGCATGAAGTGCATAGCCCTCTGGAAGTCCCCCAGTGGTAGTTGCCAGGTTATCGGAAACTTTCATTTTAAATTTCACAAAAATAGTCTATACCAACTGACCTTCTCAAGCATTTATTGTATAGTAGAACCTTAGATGAAGGCTAGTGTTGGTTTTTTTTTTTTAATATCATAACAACAATAGGCTCATAACCTATGAATAATAATCACATGTTTCATTTGTAATTTATATTAAACTACTAATAATAATAATAATAGTACAGTGCATTTTTAATGTCATAAAACTTTTCTACTACACCACAGTATGATAGATCGAATCGGCGGCTCGGGTCACTTGACTTATAGTGGGTATTAGGGTTTGTTTACATCTATCGAGATCGCGAGACCACAGTGAATTGAATATGGCTTAGCCTTGTTGTTGATGCAAGCCACATCATAGATGTTGCAAATGTTTGTTGGAATGCGAGTTATAATTTGGTAAATCACTTAGAAGTGTTCCAAAATTAAATTTCCAAACACATATATACAGTTTGGTTTGGTAAGGCTCCACTGGATAGTGGGAATAAAGCCTGGAAGTTTTTCATAGGTACTTTTTAGGCCCAAGTCAAAAATATTATTCATGGCAAATGCTATCGCAGCATGAAAAAAACAAAAAAAAACGAATCTCCCCATTCGTTGCCAGAGTATTATTTTACAGTTATTTTAAATCCAAAATTAAATCATATGATGTTTGTAGTTACTACCAAGGATAATGATCATCATATGACATTATTATTACGTACTGGCATTAGTATGTGCCATACCAACCTGGCCTATTATCACCAGCCTGTTTCACAAGCTTGGTTGAGCAATCAGTACCGCTATTTTCTACTTTATTACCTACAGTACTCGACTACAGAGATATATAGTCGAGGCATAACAACTTCCTCCCTGCTCCGGGACCTAATCGAGGCTTAATACTCACAGTGCAGCCTAGGCCTATACATATGTAGCCTACCGTACATTATCAGCATTCCAGAGCCTAAATAAAATGCACGGAGATTGCAAAAGTAATTATAAGTCACTATTTACAAAAAAACATACAGTAGGCCTACTGCCTAACTTTACTTTGGATCTTTTTCTAAAAAGTATCATAACTCTCAATATACTATGCGCATTGTGGTTTACGATGTTGATGTTTACATTAAGTACCCACTATATGTCACGTGACCAGTAAATAGCTGGTGTCGCCAATTCGGTCTATTAATGAATTGGTTCTGTAGAGGAATTATATGATGAAAATAATGAACAATAAAACACATGTATGAAAATGATTACGTGAGCAAAATCACCTACTGTATACATTTTATAATTATGCTAATAAAAGTCCTTGGAATATGGATAGAATATTCGTCTCCTTTTTACCTTCGCCTAATGATAGACCTTATGATGATTACAAAATATGAAATATTATTTGCCTGTTGTGTTACTGTAGCTTTTCCAATGAAATGAAGTTAATGGGAGAATTTTTATTTGAAACACCCTTGTATGAAATATCCAGGTAAGCAATCTATAGTATATTTTTTCCTGAAATAGATATTAATCTGCGTTTATGGTACTGAGTAATTAACAGTTATATTACACACCCATTCGTTGTACAAACACCCAATTTGTTCTTGAACAAGAGCCGAAGGGGACTCAAAATTTTTTATTTATATTTTTAGATTTTCTTCCGCTTTTGGAAAAAAACGTTCTGCTAAATAGAAAGATATTTTAAAAGTAAAGCTTACTTTTGAAACTAAACAAATTCAACTTTCAAAGTGTCAATCAATTCAATTTAATAACCTTTATTTCCATTACAAACTAATTCAAGGAATGCGTTTTAATTTTATTATTCTTGACTTACTATGAATTATTAAATTATTTTGATTATATAACAACCTTATTACTTTTAGTTGATATAGTTTTTCAATTGATTAAAAATTTAAAAAACAATGGTTAATCAATTCCATATCAGTTTAAAATCAGAAAAGTAGCTGTGTGTTTTTAGGAAATTATCATGTTAGGCTTCAAGTACTGTATTCAAGTGTCTGCTGATCATATTTTTGTTTGGCTTAAAAAAAATATAATTCTATGATGAATTCTATTAACTCTACAATTCTATTAAAACATTATACATCTTTAATATCTGATCAAGTGCAGAGATGCATACAGTAAATACTGCACATCCACGTATCTTAAAGGTCAAAAGTTTTCTGCTTGATTCAGTCTTCAGGTAGACGTGTGAAAACCTAAGTCCCTAGTGTCAGTTGCTAGGCCTGATGGCAGCTAGGGCACTACAGAATTCAATTCACTGCTCAAGCCAACCACTGTAGTGTTTGCTCTTGGAGAAGGAAATGCTAATAAATGTAAATGTATCTGAGAATATATTATTCTGTATTAACGGTCATCACAGTCCAGACTAGCAAATTTTATGTAACAAAAACTTGTGACATGCCTAAATATGGTCATGATGACATCTTGACCATTGAACAAGGGTAGCCATTGATAATAATTAAATTAGTTAAAGTAGGCCCTATAAAAAATATTATTAGTTTTTCACCATATCTAGGCTGGAAAAGTGATGATCGAGGGAGGATTTTTTTTTAATTTTAAATTTTGCTAAAGCCAAATATCGCCCTTGGGTTGTTTGCTGGTGCATTGATATTTGTCAAAGTAGAACATGATTGAGATAATACAAACAATCTATAACTATTTGAAAACAACAATTTTCTTCAAAAATATATTTTTTTTCATTACTATACAAGACATGTGCATGATGGTGATAAACTAACATTTTTTTTTTATTGGGACTTACTTGAAGAGTTGTTTGTTCAACTTTTTAGCAGAGATGATTATTCCTTTAAATATTATTTTTGTAAGTAGCTTAAGAGATTCAAGTCTAATTTAACTTATTTATTGTTACCAAAATTTTCATTCCTAATATTGATATAGTATAGAATAGATTTTTTCCCATAATCATTGTGAAGGACATTGTTGTTGCTGTTGCCAGATCTTCTGGCAGCCCATCTTCAGGGCCTGGTTGCCAGCCCTCAGAAACCTTTGACATTTTGCAGATCGATATGACATAAGGGCAGGCTCTAGAAAGGACCTGCTCTGGTCCAGTCTAAGCATGATGACAATGTTGGTTACAAGTCACTTGTATACCTTGTTGTGGTGGTAGAGTTGGCATTACCCAGGGCCGCAATGTGGACGCTTCTACCATGACCCCAATAAACCAGATGATAAACATTTAAATTACCATTAAAAAACCAAAATGTTAATTGTTCTGTGTTTTGATTATGATTTTGTGTTTTAAACTTCATATAATTTGTTCATTGAAAAGGTAACTGAGGTGTTATACAGTACCACTTCATTTTTTTTTTAAACCAATATTTTGCATAGCAGCAGGATTAGCTTAATAGCCCTAAACAACCTTGCTTTTATGTGTGTTAACACTGACCCTGGAATTGTAAGAGCTTTTTGATATTTTAAATAAAAGCTACTGTATATAAATCTAGACATCACCACAAGTATTTTTAAATAACAATTGTTATTTAGATACTTTATTTGAATGCTAGTTTTAAATATTCTATATTTTAAACCTACAGACTGTTATAATTGTTTTTAATATTCTGTTTAATGTTATTATATTGATATGAAACCACTACAGTACAATACTACAGTATTTGGTTTTATATTAAACTCTAATAATTTTTTTGTATTAATTATTAGTATTGGGAATTTACATTTGCCTATTTGTATTGGGACTTTACGTTTGCCTAATTATTTAATCTGACATGTTATTGTACTAATTACGTTCATGAATACCAAGAATTTTGTGTGATTTGAATGCAAATTGTACCCAAGACTATACTTGCAGGTTATTTGTGACTTTGCAAACTTACAGATTATTGAGATTCTACAAATTTCGGAATAAAGTGATGAGCTGAAAAAAAAGTGATAGGTTGAAATGAAGCCAGGATTATTAGAGCAGTAAAGACCATTTTATCGGATTTATTTTGAAACAGCGCCGCCAACGTCTCGCAACTCACTGGGGAACTTCCAGCGGCCTAGCCTGAGCAGCTGGAGTTACAAATAGAGCACTGAGCCGCGGATAGCGCCGCTAGACCTTTGCTATTGCAGCAGTAGACAACAGATACTATCTTGCTAATTACTAATTATTAATTACATTGAAGTAGCTTTTTAAGACTTAGAAGTGTTTTTAATATAAACATTTCATGTTTTTCCCATTTTAAAATATTTGTGCTCATTAGTAATTTAGTTTTATCGTTGATTTAATCCATAATGGTAACTATGTAGAGCGAAATGCTAGGCCTCTGAAAATCACCCAGTGGTTGTTGCCAGGTTATCGGAAATTTGCATTTCAAATTTCATGAAAATGGTCTATAGTATGTTTACGTAGGTACATCCTGCAAAGGACCAATGGTCTGTAAGCACAGGGTAACAGGGGCTCTATAGACCAATACACCGGGTTAACACCTACTTGTCTCGAAATTGTGTACACTGGGCCTACGGTTAATAGTCCTTATCTGAGAAGACTTGTTCCACGACCAGAACCACATGCAAGCGTGCTGTTTCGAACCAAGGTCGATATTATGGCTGTAGATTGCAGTGCCGCTGCCTTACCCACTCGGCCATTCGACTCTACTGAACTCAGTTAAGCACGAGCCAGAGAATAATATTCATTCTGTCATCATTGTATTAATTTGTATATTTTGTTTTATTTTACCTCTCTTTCAGTGCTTGCTACTGTTGCGTTTGCATTTCTACTTTTACCTATGTGCCAATATTTACTAAGACCCTGTACTCAAGGTACAAAGTAAGTAGCCTAACATTTAGTTTATTGTGTGTAGTTAAGGTGAGCGGAACCGAAAGTGGCTTAGTGGGAATCCCAGTGCTTACATTGGTTTACAATAATATTGTGCACATCTTTAACAACTTTTTGTGCTCATTCAGTCATTCAGTCAATGGAATTTATGTGATTTTTATGGCAGTTAGGCTATGTTCACACACACGGCGTAAGACTGGCGTAGCTTACGCCAGGCCAACTCAACGCAAACGCAACGCAACGACAACGGGTAAAACGCGTTGGGATTTTTGCAATAAAACTGGCCGGTACTGTAGTGAGTGGCTTTAACAACGCCACTGCCTAGTTCACACACAAAGGCGTACGCTACGCCATGCTTAAGCCAGCCTTACGCCGTGTGTGTGAACATAGCCTTATTCTTCTAGGAAATCACAGGTAGTTTAGTAGTTAAGATGCTCAGCTTATCTCAAGGTCCTAGGTTCATGCAATCATATCAGAAATTTAAAAGAAATTTTTCTTGCACTAAAACTGTGTGGAAATAGAGAAGGAGCAAAAGTCCCAACTGACTAGCTTTCCTAGATGCATTTACACAGCATTGATAGGAAATGTGGCATACAGATTTCATTAATTCCTTCCAATTTTTGATTTAATTATGTTAATTTTCAGTGGGATGAATCTGTATTGACTGTATGTTTGCCTTAAAAATGTATGGAATAGAAACATTTTTTAAAAAGAAATATCCCTGTGTTTAACAAGGATATTTATTTTTACAAAATGTTTCTATTCCATACATTTTGTAAAAAGAAATATCCTTGTGTTTAACAAAGGAGTATCAGGGTAAAATAGTTTAAATGTATTTAATGAAAACATGATATTTCACATAATTGTTGCTAAACTACATCCATATTAATATGTATATGAAGTGCTAAAAAATATTCCACAATCTCAAAAAGTTATGTTCCCCGTGGGCCCAGTGCCAATAGTTTATTTGCAAGAGTGGTAACTATTTGGGTCCCAGGCTGCCCGTGGATATATCCCAATATTTTTTGGAAATAGAAAATGATTCTATATTGAGCAACACTGAAATTGTGTCACGTTTTGTTTGGATAAGATCGCCTCTCTTTATTCTGCGACTGTCGCATACAGCTTTCTCACTGTCGCATATAGCTGTTGCTTGCACTACCTCTCTCTGCATAAACATGCCTTTAACCCAGTAGATCTGATGCATTTATAAATATTAGGCCTACAGTTACTTAATTACTTCCTTTCCTATTTTGTAATTATAAACCACTACCTTTATTTTTTTACTTAATTTTTTTGTTTGTACACTCTGCTCATGGTATACTGTCTGTACCTTGGATAATTTATTTTAAAAGCGGCACATTAAAAATGTTTTTATAATATTTTTATTAGGATATCGTTTGGTTGCTGCGGTCGGTTTACGTCAGCTGAGTTGATGTCTTTTTGTTTGTCTCTACTGCTTGTCATGCTCTGGGTGATGACGGGACATTGGCTGTTGATGGATGGTAAGTTGTTTCATTTAATTTTAAGTCAGACCTTGGAATTTAACGATGGTGATGTAACGTAAGCCTATTTATCTGAATCCAATAGATCTGTCGGGGATGCAATTTTTAATTATCAAGTCGATTAATAATTGATCAGACTTGGAGAAAGAATAGACAAAGTATTAATTGCATATGCATTTTTGTGTACTTTTTTATCATTATGTACTATTAATATTTATTTAATGTATATTAGATTTTTTTTAAAAATATTTTTATAGCATATTTTTTCGTATTAACCTTGTCTGTTGGAATCTTAAAATGCATGCTTTTTTTATTATAATTTTTTTTCCATTCTGCCCCATTAAACATCAAGTAAAATTAAGTTAGATTCCCAAACATACTCAGTTAGGCCTGTAATTAAAAGTAAGAAATTTAATTTCTTGCATGCCTTATTGTAACAGTACAGTGGTGGGATAGTCTTACCCTACAGAACAATAGATCCTATATTATTATAACAAACACGAAAAACATTCTTTCTAGCATGGGAAAATGTAGTTTATTTCCAGACTGTTTATTTTTTTTTTATGCTGTAGAGTCGGGTTCACTATGATCGTGCAAACCCGGTCGACCAACTGGGAATGACAAAATATGATAATAATGTGGAAAGTGTTACCAAAATTCAAAAGATCATACTGTAATATATTAGAAAAGTGTACCAAATTTCATGGAGTTTTGATAACTAACAGAGTTAGGACGATATTTATAGTCATGAGTATGTAAAATTTGTGTGTCGCCAGATAAAAAATACTGTTTTAGCAATCTGCCATTCAATAAATGCTGTGCACCACAGGGCTTATATAGTTACTGATTTGTAAGCTGGTTGGAAGGTTGTCAATTTGTACTATAAGTTTTTTTAAGTTGAGGTGGGTTTAGTATTGTTATGGTACAGTTTATCCGTGTCGCCAAATGTACGTAATTTACGTAACATAATCATAATTGCCAGGAAAAACATATATTATTGCAGGAAAACTTTAAGGTAATAACTAATATTTGCTTAGTATAAGATGTTATGAATACTGTATTGTTAATTCGGAAAAGTAGAAAAGTCATCTATGCAAAATAGGGTCTTAAACTTGAAATTTTGATTGTCGCTTTTAAGCAGTGACACATACGTTACCTGATTTCTTCATATTCCAGTTCAAGGATTTGAACCAAACTAAACACGAGAAGTAGTTAAGTAATAAGCATGGATACAGCGTCATTAAATCATCATTGGTGTTAAGTAATCATGTTTAATTAGTAATTGTAATTAAAAAGGTATTTTATGTTATAGTAACCTACGTTATGTTTTGGAATATTAATCCATATTAATGAAATAGAGGGCATAAAACTATTATAAATGACTTTGAGCAATTGACACCCAGAACCTTGTTTTTACCAACTTTGTGTTTTCCTCGAATGTTGGTCACTACGCTTTATTATTAGACTGTGTCTCAACTATATTTTGTTAACAAAATAGTTGATATTTATAATGAAATTTTAAATAGAAAATTTCAGGCAATAGCTTAGGCCTAGTTGAAAGGAATACTACAGTACATTGTGAAAAGTAACGTATGTTAAACACACGGTAAAGTATGTTATTGTTTAAATAGCATGTAATAAACATCATTTAATAAAAACATGGGCAGTGGCTGATATTATTACTTTCTTTTACATCCTAACATACAGTGACTCTCTATAGAAATGCTATCTTCATGGAAATTATTCCTATTGCTTATATTTCTGATTTATTTTGATGGTAACGTATATTACAGTAAAATATTATGTGTACATTATAATCGCGAGTAAATTCATAAAAGCAAACGTTACACATTAAATAAATCTACCTAATCAACACTCTTTAACATCAAATAGATATGATGACAACAAATATGTTTGCAAATCATCTTTGTAATGTTCTATTAGATGATTAGTCCTGGTAACCTACCTGTAGGTTACAAAACTTTATCAAATTGAAAGAACGAGCAAAACTAGGGGCTTAACTACATATCATTAAAAAAAAGAACATATTATCAACTACTTCAATGATTTTTTTCTCAAAAACCATACCTAAAATAAATATAAAAACAAATCAAATGTTCTTGTTGATTACAGATAAAAAAAAATGTGCTCATTTTGAATGCGAGGTTATCATTTATTTTTAATAACATGTACTGTATATACACAATTGAGAAGAGAAATTATAATTTTACTTTATTTTACAACGATAGACTCATGATCAGTGTTACGTAATTATATGTTACTAACATTTACATACAAAATGCGATTTCATTGGAAGAGTATGTTTAACAAACTTATGTCATTTGTTACCAGAGCATCTCCGTAGATTTTTAATTTGGAAAATATATGTTGTTAGTTTACATTTAGTGAGCGAAAATGAAAAGTATCAACTGGATTAAAATGTAATTGTTATATTATTACAGCATCAATTATTCAAAACAATATAAATGTTTAAATATTTTGGTGTGGCACTTTTCCCCCACTTGTTTTTTTTGTCATCCTATGTATAATGATATTTATAGGTACATATTACACTCAGTTATAGATAATCGTCTTCAACATTGGTTCAGTAACTTACGTTAAATTTTATATCAAATGTATTGATAATGTTAAAGGGTATGCTGTGAAAAAACTATTTGAAGTTAAAAGTTACGATTTTAGGGAATTGTTCTTGACATATTAAAGTTTCGTTCTAAAGAAAACCCTAGTTTGTTAATTGAACTTCATTTTTAATTGCACGTTTATAGTGAGCCTGACCCTGCACAGTTGGTTTCACTGTGTACCTCACTTTGTTCAAACATCACCATGTGTGACCAGTCTATATTTGCATATTAACGATTTATTTTTATATCCACATGAGTATTTTTGGTTGGGTAAGTTAATCTGGACTAGGTAACATAAGCTAGGTTAGGCCTGTAATATTATATTAATACCAGCATAAAGAATCTGCCTGTATTCTTGAAGAAAATTATCAATTCGCAAAAGATTTGTGCCGCTGAAATTTCTGATTTTACAGTATTCAATTGATGATGTCATAAAAAATTTCATAAAAATTGTCTAATTTTGTTTTGTTTTTAAAAAAAAAATATTATAGCATATTTTTTGTATTAACCTTGTCTGTTGTAATCTTAAAATGCATGCTTTTTTATTATGATAATTTCTTTCCATTCTGCCCCATCAGTTAACAAGTATAATTAAGTTAGATTGCCTAACATAATCAGTTAGGCCTGTAATTATTCAATTACGAAATTTAATTTCTTGCATGTCTTATTTTAACAGTACAGTGGTGAGATAGTCTTAACCTACAAAAGAATAAGTCCTCTATTATTATAACAAACACGAAAAACATTCTTTCTAGCATGGGAAAATGTAGTTTATTTCCAGGTTGTTTATGTTTTTTTATGCTGTACACTTGGTTTCACTGTGTACCTCACTTTGTTTATTTCTGTGTATTCTAGAATTGTCCAAACGTCCCCATTTGTAAGCTAGATTAGGCCTGTAGAATCGTATGAATACTTAGCATAAAGAATCTGTCTGTGTTCTCTCTGTTTATTTCTATGTAGTATGAAAGAGATACCCTTATAAAGAATTGGCTACTACCAGCGCACATGCGTACACTAGCACACACAGCATAGGCCTACTGTAGGTTTAGATCGTAATGCTTATCTAAATCTATTATTTGTCTTCATTTTACAGTATTGTCATATTTAATCGTTGTTTATTATCTAAAAACCGTAAAATTCAACATATTGTAGGCCTAATCCTACTGTCTGTTTAAACGCAATCATGATCACATCGTGACTTCACTACTGACAAGTACTGTACATGTGTGGAAAATCCCTGATAGATCATTCTGGGCATGTGCATGGACATGCATGGGCAGTTTTGGAGCAGCCTGTGATGATACAATCGTAGCTTTTACGGAAGTGATATTTCCCATGCCAAAGATAACGATAAAACGAACGCTAAAACGAAATTTATTCGGTGATTTTCTAATGTAAAACATATGTATTATACTACACTATTAAATTACCGGTAATACAAATACGACCATTGTTTCACCAGCAATATATTGATTTAATAGAGAAATTAACAAAATCACAATCTGTAGATGAAGATGTAATTTCGAGCGTTTGGAAAAATTGTAGTTTATACTATAATATAGGCCTAGGTAGTAAAAAATTGCCGAGGCTGCCGACCTCGGAGAATTTAAGTTTGGCAAATTTTTGCCGACCTAATTTTTTCCTAATTTCGTGGGCTGTGTGGATATAGTTCACCCTCCAATTCGAAACTGCCATTGGACCTAATATACTTTATGGTTGTCTCAGCGTTTGGTCTCCAATTACTGTAGAGGTTTAGTTTTGTGTTAAAAGATTGAAGACTGTTAGTAGATATTTTAAATGAAGTGGTCTTAAATTAGAGGGATCTAGGAATAAGAGAGGTCTCAAATTGGAGGATACATTGTACAGTATAAAGAATCTGTCTGCATCCTTGAAGAAACTTTTATTTTGCAATTCGCGTTAAAATGGTGGTTTTAATATGTTTCGCATTTAAAGTGTTGATAAAATTTCAGAATTTGCATTTCGCAAACTGAAAGCTTCTGTTGTTTGAGAATGAAGATCGATAATTTGTTATTAGTAATAGTATATTTGTTTATTACTAAAAGCTATGCTAAATAAAAGTCAGCATTATAATACTATATCTAAGTAAAAAAAAATATCCTTTGTATGAAACAGAGAGATTAAAATAACTTTAAAAAAATATCACCATTCTATTTGCCAGTACTTTGAGGTCATTTAATGAAGACATGCTAGCACATTAATAATCACATGTATGTGAATAATAATTACATTCTGTTCCGTGTTGAAACATAAATTAAACATCCCCTAATTTATAAATGGAATGATCCTTATCCTTTCAGTCTAAATTGCCTGCAGCCCTGTCTGCTACCTCCCCTAATG